AGGTAGGGAAGGGTGGGAGGGGGTTGGGAAACAATCCATTTGAGTGTTTCTATAGCCATCTTTGGTCCTAAATGTGGGGAAACACATTATGTAGCACTGAAAATACCTGTTTTTTTGTGATGCTCTGCAAGGAAAATAGAAAAATATAGTGCATTTTCAATGTATTCAGAGCCCACTACAGAGAAATGTGTGTACAAAACAAGACAGTATAAATAAAATTTACAAGCTTTACAAAGGAACATTTACAGATTTTGCTTCTGTTATTTGTTTGCTTGTGGATGCCCACATTACCAAACAAGACCAATTATGACCGATCCCTGGGATCTTTCTCTACTAAAATCATTATAAACAGCCCAATTCTCTTTGGAAGTACAACAGTTCAATTCTGGGATAGTTCATGATTTTCATAACTTTTGAAAGCAGTCCTCACAATATGTATACATTCCTGAAATAGCTATAAAGACACATTTAATTATTGCTTGTGAAATTCTAACATGGAATCAAATAATATAGAATAATAAATAAAGCTTAAAGAAAGTCAGATCCTTCACCTCTTTCTTCCATGGTAAAAAGTGTTCTTTCTTTCACTTAAGTTTCTCATATCAGCGTTCACAAATAAAACTTTTTTTTTTCCTTTAACTGCATTGGTGATATCCTGTGCAGCAAATGTGTTTTGAAAGGTGAAAATTGTGAACTGCCCCTTGTATCATGCTTCAGAGTTCTAAAATAAAACCTAATTCTTTCCTTTTGTGTTTGGACTGCATTAAACAGAACAGGATATAAAATATATGCCAACTATTTCTCCTAAATTTCCTAATGTCAGGATATTGAAAAAAATCTTGATGTGCTCACACTAAATTTAGATAACACTGGATAGTTCTTGCTCTCAGAGGCTTGCCTTCACCAATGTTCTTCAGATGAAGTGCCTCATATTATTTTTAGGTCAAAAACCTACAATTTGAATTTTGTTTTTTTTTAGTAAATTCTGTCTAGTAAAATCACTCTATAAACAGTCAGTTAAAAGTGCCTTATAGTATTTATGGATCATTATTGCTTTTTTCATTGAAAAGATAGTGTTGTCTGCTCTTTACAAAAAAATTTCTTTTTAAAAAATATCAGCGCTCTTGGCAACTTGCATTTTCTTGACTACCTGCCAATTAGCAAACACCATCAAAACAGCACTGATTAAACAAAATAAAACGTGGCACAAAAAGGATACCGATGTTCTGACAGAGATATCTTCGATCATGCTGTGTTTTGTGTGTTTTTTTTTTTAATTTGAGATTCTTTCAAAAGTACCCAGTGTAGTAATGTGTCATAGAGTAACACTAAAAAGGTCCAAAGCTATAAACAACTTTCTAAAACAAAGTCCTTATGGAGAATAAACAGATGATTTTAAAAAGGAATAGTCTGAAATCACATATTTAAGGAAAATATTTCATTGATTTTTAACAATAAGATCATGATTTTATTTGACAAATATATTCTTTCTTAAATTCTTTATGTACATGTTAAAAAGTCTATAAGATAAAAAGGAGGTTAGAGAGCTCAAGGTGTTTGGATGTTTTTCAGGTAGTACTTTGTTTATTGTCACTGCTGTTTTCCTGGCCACCAGTGGTGGATCCTAAATTCCCTTTTTATATATTCTGGTGGCACTTAGGAGTTCAAGTCTGTAGGTGCTTCTTAAATCTTCTCTTCACTGTAGGAAGGACCCAGGACATCAACTGTCTTCTAGCAGCATTCTATGCATGACTGAAGGCCAGTACTGTTCTCTCACGGTCCCAAATCTCCCTCATAAGGGAGAAATGCTTATCACACTTGGATGCCAGTTCCATGTAAATGGAGCATTTGTGCTCTCATAGTCTGAATGCTGCTCATGATTTTCTTTTGATGGCCAACCAGTGTGATCCCTAAACTCATCACATCCCTGAAAAAGACAAATGCATTTTTTATTAGTTACCTTACCAAGAATTTATTTGGTACTAAACTGTCATCAACTCTTTAATTAAATAATCTGTGTGTCTTCTGCAAACAGATTTTATCTTGGAATCCTTGGGTATTACGACATATTCCTGCCATGGTGGGTCAGATTGGCAACTGCATCAAGGAGAATTCCATTGTGGAAACCTCAGGCTCTCAATCTGCCAAGATAAGTTACTTTTAAAGTGATCTGAAATTTCATATGAGAAATTATCAGTCTTAAAATTATTATTAATGTAAGGTAAGATTAGGAAATGCTATCTGGAATGTATTCTTGAACCTAAGTGGAGTTTAAGAATTTTAATTGTTAAAATAAAATATAGTACGAATAGAAATACTTCTGGGCTATAGTAGATCAAGAACTATCAATGATCATAAAATTTTTATACTGAGTTTAATTATATCATAATAATTCTGACTATATTCTTGGTTGTATACTTACTTTCAGTTCTGTTCATTTGACTACATTTCAGAAAAATAAATTGTAAAGAGTACAATATCCATTACACATGTTTAATAGCTTAAGTCTGACATAAGCTAACTGGATCTGTGTATATACTTTTACCTTTACTAATAGCCATTAAGATTGAAGTTAGGTATTCGAGCAGCTAAAATATAGCGACAGGACAGCACTGTAGTATTTAACAGCAGTGATCTAATATGACTTTGAAAGACACAGTCTTTCATGGCAGTAGATGACTTCAGAGAGACAGACATGATTATGCCAGTACTACCCGAATGGTGACTAGCAGAAAACTAAAGATAGCATGCACATGCTTAAGTTCATGTACATGCTTATCTTTCCTGACATGCCAGGAAACAATATCTGACTGCTGGCCTTCATCTCTCTGAAAAGTGTTAAACCCTTCTCACAACAGGACATAAAAAGGGCTCCACTAATAAAACCTTCATGATTGTTTCTCGTTTTCAAACACATTGACTGAGAGGAATTGCATCATCCATAAGAGTTACACGGCAGCCAAGGAAGCCAAGGTTGGGATAAATTAACTAGATTTCATAAGACCACATAATCAGTGATGGAGCCAAAAAAAAATTAGTTTTTACTTCCAGTTCACAGCAATTTCAAAGTTGTTTTATCAGGTAATTTTTATTTTTTCAAAGATATGTTTTTATTGATTTCAGAGAGAGGAAGGGAGAGAGAAACATCAATGATGAGAGAGTCATTGATCGGCTGCCTCCTGCACGTCCCCGACTGGGGATCAAGCCCGCAACCCAGGCATGTGCCCTGACCAGGAATTGAACCTCAATCTCCTGGATCATAGGTCGATGCTCAACCGCTGAGCCATGCTGGCCAGGCTATCAGGTGATTCTTAAGGTTAAAAAAAATTTGACTCAATTAATCATATACTTTCCAAAAGGTATGTTAAACTAAAGTCTTAGTTACAGTGAGTTAAATTAGGCTTACTTTGACCTCTTCAGACAATAATCATATTGAATGTCCCAGTGCATTTTGGAACTGGGTTTGAAACTTTGAGATGTTTAATGTCTGATACAAACGTGGCGAAAGAAATCCTCCTTTGCAATGAAGGAAGATTAGGAACCTAAATGATACCTTGATTAATGAGAAAGGAAGTCTCACTGAATGATGTTTAGAACACTGGCTATGGAGACAAATTAGCTACCACTTAATTAGCTGAGTCAGTTTGGGGAAAATATTTAAATTCTCTGAGCCTTAGCCTTGTTGTATGTGAAACAACTGACTTAATAAAACTGTTGCTGTGAAGGTTACTGTATAATGCTTGGATTGTACCTAATACATTTTAAAATATAATTAAATATAATTTTAAAAGTTTAAGCTTACTCAATAGTCATTCTGGCAACTGACTCAAGGGAGTTGTAGCCGGCTGCTGTGAAGTTATCTTTATATCTTTCCATTTTAATAGCTTGTAGCCATTCTCCAACTGAACAAAAGGCAGTGAAGTCAGGAGTGTTTTGATCCAGAAGAGGGCTTATTGGCCTAGATAAGAATAAAACAGAAAAATAATTTTTTTTTTTTATGAACTACTAAGGAAAAATGTCTTGTCCCATAAAACAATAAGGATGTATAGAATAAAGTTACATATTTGCATTGATATTATAATAATATAAATATAAGATATAAAAATATAAATATAAACAAATATGCTAATAAAATATAATGCATAAAGGTTACCCAATAACTACAGATTCCAAAATTTATATTTTACTTATATTTGATGACCACCAGATTGCATCTTTCATGCATTTTTAAAAGTGCAGCCAACAGTATTTGTGAGCAGTAAATATTTGTTCATTTGCTTCTCCAAAAGTAACTTGGAATAAAGAAGCACATCTGGCTGTGGACTGACTTGTTTAGACCATGAGGGTGCTATGAAGAACATTATGTTCACACTACTGATGGAGCCTTATGAGCAACTGGTGAGTTTACACCTCCACAAGGCCTGACTCCCCAGAGGACAGACCGGAGCCTCAGGTACCTGGCAGCTGACGCTGAGTAACTGCTAATATGCATTACAACGGAGGAAGCCAAGTGCGAAGAATGGAGTGTTTCAGACTCTTTTTAGCTGGTACACCTCTTTAATCATGTACTAACTTGCGTTTATAAATGTTAACTTAGAGAATCATTTTACATAACCCATAGCAAAACAATAAAATAGATAATACGTAACAAACTAGGGCAATAGTAACACACAGCATAATAATAATAATAATTTCAAAATGTGAAATGCCACCTACTCACAAAATTTCAATTAAAAATTTTTTCTAAATGGCAGCCACTGATGTATATCATAACTTTTAAGAAGAAAGAAAGCAATAATAATTAATAGGTCTCTTTAAACACTAATTCAACTGAGGTAAGCCATCTGAAAAGAAAAAAGAAAAACTTCTGTAAACATAATATATTTAATATGGATTTATAATTTAACACAAATGTCAACTGGCCACTGGGGTGGGGCTGGGGAGACAAATGGTTCATGTGAATATTTTAATTTCTCCCAGGTTCCATTCCCTTAGGTATTTCTTACCTACTACAGGTTCCCAAGGGTGTTTTCAGACTATTTGGGTTTCGAATCATTTTGTCTAGAATTCCAACTATCTGTTCAAACTTTGGCCTTTCGGAGCGTTCCTTTTGCCAACAATCCAGCATCAGCTGGTGAAGACCAGCCGGGCAGTCCATGGGCGCAGGTAAGCGATAGCCTTCTTCTATTGCTTTTATAACCTAATAGCCAAAAGGACATTAAAAATATTACTGACTGAGGTTCAGTTATAATTAAATTAATTGTCCAGTAGGCAAAGTGAAATATCCTGATAAAAGTGAAGCACACTGCTTTGCTAAAGACTTTCCCCCCTCAAAACATCCATGAATATTAAGCATGTTATTAAGGGGTACATGAAGTGCAGGATATGACATTTTCTAGTTAATTCAGCAATGGGGAACAGCAATTAAGCTCACTCAGGGTAAAATAGGTGGAAAATCTTTTAATGTCATCCCAGAAGTTTCAAAAGGGGTAATACATGTGAAGGACCTATTTTATTTGAATATAGCTGTGAATGTACATATATGCGTACAAATTTTTCAAGTTGTAAGAGGATTCTGTGCTATTCAAAACTGAACTCCCCAAAGTTTCACTTTTCGCAAAGTTTAAATAACATTTTTAAACAAGATATCAAAATATGTGCATGTAGTAGGATAGAAAATATTAGCGAGCACACTATTATTTTAAATAATATGAAGCTTATATGCTAAGTTTAGTGACCTCCCACGGCAGATTGAAATTAGCTTTGGGGGAGGAGAGGGGGAAAAAGGGTGACACTAGGAAACTGAGAAGGTCACAGATCAGGGTTTTCCCAAGCAGAGTCCTGGCTATTAAACTTTTATCAGCATATCACTGCCCATTTAGATCTAATAACAGCCTAAAATGCTATTTATATCAACCTTTGAATGTTAATGAAAAGCAGGCTTCTGTAGACATTTGTATGTGGCAATCAGAAAGTCTAAAAGTTACTTACTCAGACCTGTTGTTTTTTTATTTATATGAAAAGAAAAAATAGATCTTAAAAATCAGAAATTCTTACAAATCTGAGCAGCACAAGGAAAATAATAGGAAGGCAAACAATGCAAATAAGAAAAGCTTGCAAAACATTAAAATATTCAAGGGGGATTAACAAACCCTTTGACACTGACATAATATAGTAGAAAGAGAAGAAATACTGACTCTGGGGGGGGGTGGGGGGAGAAGAGGTGACCTTGAGTTTTTGAAGAAAATAAGGCCCAAAGTAGGCAGACAATAAACTGGCTTTAAGAATTGTTGATAAACTTGGTATTTTTATGGAATCATATCCTTAAGTTGCTGCTGACATTCAAAAGTAGCACATTCAAATGTAAAAGGTTGTAGGATGGAATGAATAAAGTAGCTGGCTTCGACAATTTTTAGAGAACATCCTTTGTAAGAGAAAAAGAGTGCACTTGAATTTAAAAATCTACATATGCAAATTGGAAATTGATAAAGTTTAAAAGGTAAATAGGTTAACTTAATTACAGTAATTTCTGAGAAGTATTGTAAGTATAAAATCCTCAGCCCAAATCCTCTCCTGATCACTATTCTTGTACATCAGTTTACTAGACACCTTCATCTGCACTTTCCACAGGCATTTCATACTTCACATAAGCAAACGTTCATAAATGGTAACTGCATAGATCACTAATACATAGCTATGGGAGGAATTAAATTAAAAAAAAACATNCTGCATAGATCACTAATACATAGCTATGGGAGGAATTAAATTAAAAAAAAACATAAATGAAACAATTGCACATGTCTTTGTACAACTATCCAGTGACAGCACTATACTTGGACTCAAAAGTGATATATGTTAAACAACTTAAATAAAAGTAAAAAGACTGCATTTTGGGAAGTTGGGTTTAAGCTATTTAAACAAATTATGCATATGTAAATAAAAAACTTCTAAAACTTTAAGTATGCAAAATGTTCAAACAATAAACAACTGGCAGGCATTTTTGCATTGGGGAAGGAGCGGCTCTCCTCGGGCTTGCGGTTGCTCGCGTTTGAACATGTGCAGCATCTTTCTGAGCTGACAGGACTCCATTCCCAGGCCTGTAGCATCCTTATTATCCCCTCCTGACCGGTTTCCCTGCTTGTGGTTTGTCTTCTGATGTCCAGAAAGAAACAATGCAGGTAGAATGAGCTTTCCTTTTTTCTTTCCCTCTAAATAATCTTTTAAAATGTAAACCTAAATCTTATCATGATCCTCCTGACATAATGCTCTCCAACAGCTAGCTCTCCCATGGGCTTCTTTAGTTTTGAACACAAGAAATTCTTAAGCCTTTGTGCCAATGAACACAGTATAGTACCATTAAAGACTTACAGGAATAAAAATTAATAAATCTCTGTAGCTGTCTTATTGCATTATAGGAATTACACGATTCCTATCATTATAGCAGAGAAACATTTATTGCAATCCAAAATGGAACTTGTAGCTCTCAAAGACGCAGTGGTTTATATATTTTTAAAGGAGCAGCAATACATAACATTTAAAATAAGAGATGCTCTGGATTGGGAATCAATTTTGGGACCCTAATGCTCCCATTAACGATCACGCCCTCACCTACAGCAGCACTAGCGATACTTGCTGGGAGCCTGGGCCCCTCTAGAGCACAATTCGGCATACATGCCCTTTGCGGATACGCCAGCCAGCAGCGGATGATTCGGCACAAACTGAAGCTAGAGGCTCTGCAGTTTTTAATTTGGTTAGCTTCATTATACTTTCCAATGGGAAAATAAGGATTACTTTCTATAGATTGTTACACATTCTTGGAAACAAGGCCCACAGGTAAGATGGCTGAACCTAGGCTTCTTAGAGCATTGCGTAAGGATTCATGTAATCTATTTAAAACATCATTTTGTGAAATTACCAGAAACACCTAGGTTTTGTCTGTCCAGTTCTAGCCTTAGTATTGTAATAAAAGTCAAAGAAAAACCATTCACAAGTAATTTCTAACTCTAGATAGTTCCCTGAAAGATAAGAAGTGAGTAGGGTAAATGCCATCCGTGACACCCACCGGGATATGATAGGGAGCACTTGGGTATATACTGTAAAAAAAATACTCAGGAATAAACACAAAAGTTGCTTGTTGAGAAGTGTTTCAGTATGATTGCAGTACCATTGTCATTAAGAGAAAAAAGCCGCAGAGAATGACTCATGGAAACGGGCCTGTATGAGCTCCACATGGTCTCTACCGAGATTGGCTTCTGCTCTCTGCTCACGCTCACTGTCATTTCCTTAACCTCACACAACATAACCCACATTTTATACAACAAATATTTCGGACCCCACTTATGTGATTATGGCAAAGTTTTACCAAAAAATCACAAGTTTGTTTCTATCAATATAAAAATACAAAGTCATAAGTTAGTGGTGGCTTTTAAAAGAAAAAATTGAGGGCTCACAATTTAGCTGAAAATAAATTTAGTTACATGTGTTATACTTTCAAAGCTCTTAAATGTCCTAAAATGGACCACTTGAAGAATTCATCTTCATGTCCCGTATCTTTATAGAAGCTTACTTTTGTCATCTTTATGGCTACCTACTGAGAACATTAAGAACTAACTGGCCTAACTCAGTGAGAAGAAATAACTTTGTTGAGTAATATACACAGAAAAAAAATCTAATCTATACAATATAAAATTTCAAAATTTGAGAGTAAAAATTTTGTTTGAATTAAGACATAAATTCAATGAAAAGATAGCTGCTGTGAATGCCAATTATGAGTATTTTCAATTTCTATAATATTTATTACAGTTGACTACATTTTACATATATAAAGATTTTCCTCTGAAAAGCCATTATGAAAAGGGCTATACATCTGCAGACTTTTAAGAAGAATGAAAATTGGAAACTTATTTAGAAGGCTCAGCCTTGATTTTAGTAATTGCAAATAACTAGACTCGAACTGCTAACATTTAGTAAAAATTCAAGAAAGTTATAAGTACACAAAAATACAATGAGCATTCATGCAAACCTTAATCAAGTCATAATGCATTCGGGTGTGGGTATCATTATACCTGTGCATATTATCTTTTCCCAAGTTCTTGCTCAAGTAACTAAAGCCTCCTGGCAACAAACTATCTACCTCACTGACTTCACAATACCCCTTTTCTATTTCTTCAGAGCCATCACAGAAACCTCCCTTTGTTCAGCATTCAGCCTGGAATTTTGTGAACCTGCTTATAAACAAAACCATAAATTTACTACTTATTTTCATGGCATCTTATTAAAAGTCTTTTAAAATCTAAGTTGGGGGCTTTCTATATTGCCGACAAATTCCTAGCAGCTAAATTTAAACACTATTAAGTGAATTGATTCACTTAATAAATCAATCTAAGCTAATTAAAAAATTAATATATCTGTAGATCTGATGAAAGCAAACTTCCCAGTAAAACACAATATATTCACTCACACACAGAATTTCCATATGCATGAAGGGTTTCAGGGATCGCAAGCCTCTCTATGAACTCCTACAAGAGACTCCAAGTAAAAAAAGCTTTCACTTAAGAGAATTTCTTACCAGAATGGAATTATTTTAAATTATCCAGGTTTTTTACCATTTCTGTATTGAAAATTATACATATAATTGCTCAAATAGCACTTCAACAAGTATGAAATAATAAATATTACCCTATAAGGGGAATATTACCATCAATTTTATTACAAAAACTGAACTGCATAGGTAATCTCTTACTATTACATAAACTTCTGTCTGAATTTAATAATTAAGACCTTCAAAATTTTAAAAAGATGGTGCTAAATGTTCTACGTCAGAACAAAACTTCATTCTAGACATAATTTAATTTAATCGATAAAAATATTTAATTCTCGATACACTAATTATATCTTCAATGATATTTAATTTTGAAGAAAAACAAAGGAACAATACTTAAGGAATTCTAAAAATGAAAACTGAAGATATTTATTTTTTTCTTAACTATTTCTGTTATTTGTTTTCAGAAGTTAAGTGAACTTTGAATTTAAGTTATCTTATATTCCTGTCATTCCCTTTATGTTTGAATCTAGTACAGAAGGAGGGTGTCAAAAGAAATAAAACTCTACTGAGTATCTAGGGAATATCAATATTTCTCTTTCTCTGCCCCAAGGATTTGTTTGCTCTCTTTCTGACAGCCCATGAAATCTCTGACACTGAGACCTGCCAAATATTAACAACTCTGCCTCTGCCAAACGAACTCATCCTTTAGACTTTTATCTTTGACAAACCAAAACCAAAACCAAAACCAAAACCAAAAATAATTTACAAAAATTAAAAAGATTCATGTCACCTGTCAATTGAAAATACCAAAAGATTTAAATGACTTAAAAGTTTTGCCTTTTCAGGCTGTGAACTTTTCAGGTAATGCAGACATTTGTAGGGAAATACACTGAAAATAACTTTACCAACAGTCTGACTTGACTTCCATTGTCTAAAAGTAACTATTTATAAGTTTTGAGGACCACAGAAACTTGATATGGAAAAATTCTAAAATCAAAAACAAAGACGTTGATTTAATATAACAACGTTCATAATCTCTGTTGGAAAAATAACACAATTTTAACTTTAGCCAGCTTCTCTTGCTGCTGTGTTTACAGAATTGATTGATCCAAACAGCTGGTTAGTCACACCCTTTGTCTAATGGCAATACAGACTTCCCCCGAGCACTACTCATTTTTACTCCTCAACAACGTGCATTTGTAACACTTTCAAATTCCTTCACCAAATCCTTTCATCAACCTGCCCCGGCCTCCCCTTCAATGGGAATCCCGCCCAGCGTGCGGGTCTCTGTACAGGGCGGTGTCTGCGAGGGCGCTCCCCACGCGCCTCCATCAGCTTTCGCTTCCAAACTCGCCAGTGGGTTGGTTCCCTGGGAGAATTTTCTCACCAGCTGTAAACCTAGGTCTTCTTCAGATTTCTAGTTCTTAGATTTACACTTTCTCTATTTTTATCTAAATTTCACTCACATTGCCATTAAGTTGAACTATATAAATCTGCCAGTATTTGAAAGTTTCAGATCTTATAAAAATGTCAATTTCAAAAATAAAAAAAATAAAAAAATTCAACCTAATAGGAGCAAAATTCACACTCACTTATCCCCTATTACTTTATAAGTGGTCTCTTGGTGTGAGATGTATACCTCCGAAAATGCTATTCGCTTTTTGTATCAAAGAAAAATAGCACATTTTATGTCTTAGCATGTAACAGGATACACGTTAATGAGGACTATGTTTTTTAAGGAATTTCCAAAATACTTCCATTGTAGTTACATTCTAAAATATCACTATGAAACACTTACCAATACTGATCATAAAATCTAGATTGTCTCATGAAATTAATATTTAATTAAGTTAATCAACCGTAATTTAAACAGATTTTTTTCAGAACATTACAGAAAAACAAGACAAACAAACAAACAGAAACAACCACCACAGTCACGACCTTCTTCACCCTCCTCTCCATTAGTGATTCTTTTACCCATGTGACTCTCCCACTACAGCTGTGCAAAGCATCATCATCTTTATTAAGGAGGAAATATCCTCTGTAGGCTTCTATTATATCTAGAAAATTTAAATTAAGAAGATAACACAGTCCTTCAAAATGAAAACTAAAATTAAGTTGATTGAACCACTAATTTATGGTAATTATTGTGGTAATTTGTAGTATTAGTTATGTAAACTCAACAACTGTATTTTTTAATTCTATAGAAGCTTCTTCTTATGAGCCATCACCTACATACTCCAATAATAATGGGTATTAATGTATTAAATCCTTTTGGTTTAAGTAGTGTAACACCTACATCTTGATTTGACATGTCCCAGTAAGGTCTTTCTCCATAAGACATAACTTCCCACATGACTATTCCATAGCTCCATACATCGCTGGCTGATGTGAATTTTCGGTATTGGATGGCTTCAGGTGCTGTCCACCTTACTGGAATTTTCCCACCCTGATATAAAAAGAAATCAACATTTTAATTATGTATAATAACTTATAAATCATTTACAGCAGAGCCATAAAACTACCATTAAACATCTGTATATTTGGTTGGCAATTCAGCAGTATCACACCTATCCATCTTGAATCTCTCTAAGTGTGTTTAAAGTTACTAATATGTTTTTTAAAATCATTGCAAGATTTCATTTTTTAGGCAACTCAATTTAATGGGCCTTATGTGGTCTCAGGAAAGAGTCTAGTCAAAAGAAAACGACAAATTATGCAAAATAACTACTAAAAGGGAATGAAATATGGGGCATTTAAGTAAACCCTCACATATTTCTCTTTTATGGAGTCTCACAAAAGTTGTAAGACTTGGCATAGTTAATATTTAAAAAAAAAAATCTTTATTTAAAAATAGAATTATATACTTTTTGCTGCAAGTATGATGCTAGTAACTAGATGTTGTATATGACTATACAGCACATTATTTATATGAACATCCCAATACGAGATAAGCATGCTGTCATTCTTAGGGTTATTTCTTCTCTTATCCTATGTGTAGGCTATAAAAGCAACAATGATTCTTCCAAAAGGAAAAAAACAGTAACACAAAAAAGCTGAGATCAATTTGCCTCTTTTCTACCGTTAATTTTGCATTGCTAAGGTTTGCTTTCTCGGTAGGAAAATCTCAGGAACATGGAGAGATGCAGTAATAGACTTTTTCTTACAGTCGTTGTATAGACAGCTTCTGGATCGTCCTCTATAACCCGGGAAAGGCCAAAATCTGACACTTTACAAACAAGATTGCTGTTGACAAGAATATTGCGAGCCGCGAGGTCCCTGTGAACATATCCCATATCGGCCAAGTATCTCATTCCAGCAGCAATTCCTCTCAGCATTCCCACTAACTGAATGACTGTAAATTGCCCGTCATGTTTCTACAGGAAGACAAAAATAAAAGTCCAGTAAATTGTGCTTTGAAGGGAAAGAAAAAGTCTGCACACTAGTTACTTACTAGTGTACAATAGGAATTACTAATTAATTTTCTATATAATACATTTGAGAAAAACATTAACAAATGCTGATTTAACTGACAGTCAAATAATACAAAATAGTTTTGGTATTCAGTTATTTACATTCAGTTATTTACATGCTAATTTTTAGGTGAAAGTTAGGGAATGGAAAGTCCAAGCATATCCCTGACAGCTGTTTTCCTCATTAGGTAAAAAATTATATAAATAATCTAAAAATATATAAAGGTACGAAGACACAGATATTAAGATATTTTCTCTAAATGGTAAAAAAAAAGGGGGGATTTTTAAATTAGTGATAAAGAGAAACTACGAAGTAGAAAATGATTATAGTGGCTGCCTTTGTTTTCATTTTATACTTTTCCTTGTTTCATTATTAGTAGGAACATTACTTGCAACAAAGAGTCTCTAAAATAGATGTACTAGCAAATGGGACTGAACTCTATATGCGACTGGATTGGCTATCATATAGCTTGAACATATTTTTAACCTACAGATTTCTCCAACTGAATTACAACTACGGTGCATGAAGACACTGGTTTGAGCTGATTAACTTGCTAGGTGATGCTCTCCTCCAAGAGCCTATGGTTGTGCATATCACAGAGATGCAGCAGTGCAAATTTCTCTAAATCCTCCAAATGCCTAGAAGTCTGGGTTGAATGTATCATTCTAGATCACATATGATAATTCTGCATGGCCTCTTATTGCTTAGATTATTTTCTCTTTGCCATTTAAAAAAATGTTAATGTGAGTTCATATTCTTAGGTGAAAAGTCTCTGAGAATAAAAATACATATGTTTAAACATTTAGAATTTAACATTTACAAAAATAATCACATACTATTAATTTTTAAAATATTAATACTTCTATATTTTATGCTCGGTGTTCACGTAACAGTATAATAGAAATGGTTCCACAGAGCAGAACTGGGACCATGGCACTAACATTAAGTGGTTATTTCACTTTCTAGTCTTCTCTGTATTACCATTGTATTTCATTTATAATTGTCCTAGGAAAGTAAAATGTACTCTACAGTCTGTATTCAAATTACAGGGCTTCAAGTAGCCTCTGTACTTGAGGTAGTGTATTAATGAAAACGATTTTTTTAAACTACACTGTATCACTTGAATGATTAAAATGATTCTAGTTCAATCTAGTCTAAGACTCTGATTTTTAATCTGCTTTTCAAAGACAACTTTCTAACTTGTTAACGTTTATAATGTTTGCATTTTACATTGAGAAAAAAAAAAGTTCAGGAAATTATTTTGGTAGCATGTATACAATATATTTAGAATGGGAGAGTAATTGTGCTACTTACCCTGAGAAATGCATCTAGGGCTCCGTTTTCCATGAATTCTATTACAATCATGACTGGTTTCCCTAAAATTAAAAATATACATATGTAAGAAAAGAAAAATGTTGCTTCAGAAAGTGCAACCTCAACTTCAGGGTTATTCCTTTCCTCACCCCAGATGAAACACATTGCTCTTTTGAAACACTGAATGGGTGAGCTGTGTGTCGCGAACGTTTCTAGTGCTGCTGCTAAGGTCAGAGTCCTCAAATGTCTGATGGTCATGATTCATGAAATTAAACAGTAAAAATCAGTGTGTTCCTCTGAAGCTTGATTTGTGAATAAAACTCAGAGAAAATGATACTTTATATAAAATATGAAGACTAAACTGTATCACTTCCACGGCTTTTGAGTTAAATGAGAGTATCAGTTGCTCTATCAGATTTATTCTTTAACTCTAATCCTGCATTTATTTGTGTTTTTTTCCTGGTGACACAAAAGAATTTTTTAGTCAGTTCATACCAAGAAAAACATTCATTTAGAATATGCAATATGTTCATAATTTGACTCCCTTATTATTTATGAAATGATGCTAATTTCTGACAGTCCACTTGATAAATGAAAGATACAATCAATATCTACCTCTCGTAACGACGCCTTCCAAATGGACAACATTTGGGTGGTCAAACTGCCCCATGATGCTTGCTTCACATAAAAAGTCTCTCCTCTGTTTCTCTGTATAACCGACTTTCAGGGTTTTGATGGCCACTGGAACATCTCTTTTCCCTGGAAGTTTCAAACGGCCACTGCAGACTTCTCCAAATTCTCCTGAAGTAACAGAACAGGCAGATGTATTTTAATTTCAGAAATATGTCTTCTCTCAAACAAAATGCAAATAATTCTTTAAAAGCACTTTTAAGCTTTTCTAAACTGTTACACAAGCTACTATTTTTTTAACTGAATTAAAAAAACAACAACCTCTTTTGGAAACAAAATTTAGATCTGAAATATGTTGTGTAAAGTATGCTGCCTACTATAGGAAAGGGCACATTGGCAAATGCTAAACATTGCCACCGCTTTCACGGTTTAAGGGGCAAATGGCTCTTCAAGATTTAAGAGCCTGGAATTCATATGCACCAGGGCTGCCAGATTAAAGGGATTGGGACTGAAAAATGTAGTTATTATGAAAATACATCGAATACATAGAAACTAATATTCCTTTTCGATAATTCATACATATTAATTTTCTACGTGAAATTAAATAGTACGAGGTTTACCTAATACCTACAAATGCAAGAGAAAAAATAGAAAAACGGAAGCTTAGCAAGAAGATGGTAAGTCAAGTAAGAGGAAATATACTCCAGTAAAATTCAGGAACATTCTAACTTTTTAAAATACTAAGTCATTTCTTGTACAGGCCAAAACTTAAAAAACAGCTTACAAAAAACCCCAGTATCTTAAAAAACCCAACAGAAGACAAAAGATACACAGATTCCCCGTGCCACAAGCTTCTTTTTCATTTTTTTTCTCTTAAGATTTCATAAACAAGTACAGCCTCATTGCTTCCAATAGTTCAGGTAAATGCAAAAGTTCTATATTTGAGGTATAATTATTTGCCTGTCATTATGATGTATGACTTTCGATCTTGGCTAAATGGAAGAGCTGAATAAGGAAGCCACAGCAGCCTTACCTGCACCAATCACACGCTCAATTTTAATACAGGAGGCATCTAGCTCCTTGGCGAATTGATGGACAGCTCTATTTGGGTCCTCATAGGTTTCAGGGTCAATGTAGGTTTTGGTGCCTGGAAATTTAACTGTAATGATGTAAGAAAGCATGACTGTGATGAAGCAAAGCACTTATTGTGCAGTCAGCCCAGGAATTTCATTATGCAGAGTGCTCCTTGGAACAGTGAACTTGCTTCCACATCACCTGATTCGCAGCAGTTTTAACAGACTACTTCAGTCTGCTGGCGCATAGGTATTATCTGCAAGCTTCTATAGGTTACATAGGATCCAGCTCATAGGTTACTAACTGAATTGCTCTTCCGGTAAATCAACAAAATACATCACCCAAATTCTCTGACATGACTTATCAGACTGGAGGTTTAATTAAATTCACGGCTATCGTGGCATAGTTCAAGCCATATCGAGGTGAGTAATGGACTTGGAAACAACATTTGTAAATCTATCAGTCACTCAATCAAATACATACACTGGGAAAAGAAGACATTTCATATACAGGTAGCCTACTACGCTGACAGCAATATTAAAAACATTTAGACATCTTAGTTATTCTTTTGGTTTATTTTTTTAAAAGACCAACCACCGTTGACATATACATAAAATTAATACAAGATGTGAGGGCCGCTATCACAGACTCGGAGAGAGAAATCTACTAAAAAACACAGTTTCATCTTTACCTTACAGGGCAATAGAGGCTAGCCAGAATGTACAAAGTCCAGAGTAAAATTAGAAAATTTACAATATTCCTGGGATCTGCTAACCATGTATGACACAATTGGAAAGAGGAATGGTTTATGTGAACTTTCAATTATAAGGCTCTGGAAGGAGGCAGCCAATATGCCTCAGAAAAGGTAGTCAAGATTCAAACAACATAGAATCATAAAAGTTGCAAAAGTTAAAATCTTCTTAAAATGCACCCAGAAGCATGCAGGTAACAGAGAATGCTATGTAAACTTTAAATGAAATTCAGTTACAATAATGTATTCCAAATCAGTCGTATGGTTAAAGACAAAGATAAGATAGGCATATATTTGGTCATATTAATGCAATGAAAAGAATTACACTACATCCTCAGAAAAACTTTATTGTTTTTAACAAAGCCACTGAACAATCTTTTCATTAAATCTCACTATTCGGAGAACAATATATTTCTTTATGTATTTACACTGCAGCCTAACTGTGCTTATGTCATCGCATTAAATTAAAATTATCCTTTAAAAATAAACACATAACCAACCAAAGGAAGCAGAATGTATAAAGGAAAGTGGGATTTAAAAATCTTGATTTATCCTGCTGTAGCTGATTGTTTATCCAAAATTGATTGTCTTAAACAATGACTGTTGCAGTTTATAAAACTGACAGATGCTCATTTGTTACTAAAGCTGAACATGAAAAGAAAAACAAAAAAACAAAAAACACAACACAAGAAGAAAAGAGAGAGGGGATAGAAAGAGAAAAGAGAGAAGCAGGAGTACAGGGAGGAGGGGGAGGAGAGAAAGAGAGAAGGGAAGAAAACAATAGGTTAACCTCCCAGATTGGCAGGCAGGTGGAGCATGAGCCATCCTCTCTCTTTCTTTCAGCTGTTCTGCCTTTTGGTTTTGTTCTGTGATAAGGGAGCTAGGGTGGAGGTAACCTCCTGCATCTCAATCGGGGTCTCTGATGGTTCTTTATTCAAGCTGTCATAAAACATTTTGACAGGCCACGGCAATTTTGGCATGAAAACATGAAATACTGCCCAGCTTGGATTGAAAGACACTGTTAGAAGAAATGGTAGGAGGAAACAAAATGTAAATTGGAATGGCTTCGCTAAACTCCTCCACTGTGTTTATATCTTTACATGTGGCACTTGGGGCCACGGAGAGTGGAGGGTGCCTGATACAAACGACTGGACATTCTATTAAATTTCAGGGCTCTAAAAGCTAGTTAAATGGCTGCTTTCAGGTTTCCGTGAAAACTCAATCTGGAGTCTTAGCACCTAAGAAAATTGTTTGTATACTAACGGAATAAAAGGACACCGACTTGTCAACGGCTGGTGACCATTGTGTTGTACTTTACATATTTTAAATACGGTCATAAAATCAAATAAAATGCCTGGTTCTCATCAAAAGGTAAGGAAAGATATCCTTGTAAAAGGGTGATTCAGACATACCAAGGCTTTACCAGAAGTGGGTACGTTAAGTGCACTTGGTCTCATTATCCATTTAAAAAATAGATTTTTAAAATTAAAAAATATTGACATCATTTCTGAATATTTTGTTCTCTTGCTCACCTCAGTTTAAGACGATGAGCTTTTTTTGTGTGTTTTAGTAGTTCATTTACATTTCTCATGAATGTTAACTATCTTAAAACCACCGTCGATATTTTGCTTTAGAGATGAAAACCGTATATTTATCGAGCTTATCTTGTCTATGTTAGCAAGTAAAACATGCAGCTCTATTTTTCCTAATTACAAACTGAATGTCAAAAGTAAAAAAAACAAATCATTAAAATATTAAAACTGAGTGATGACAATTAAGCATAAGGCTATACAAGTTTTACAGAAGCCATATTTCAATTTACCTTCTGCATTAACCGGCAAGCTAAAGCCAAATAAACTAAAACGTATTTGATAGTTTTGAGATGTCTCAGAAATACTCCATAAAGGAAACAAAAGTGACATACTGATCAAGGCAATATTAAATGATTCTGCCATCAAATTATTCACACGTGGACAGAATCAGGGATTCCAGGAACCATAGTCTTATGTTACTCTTCCATATACATTTTAAACTAGATACAAAAATGTAGGCATTCAAGCTTGGATCCTCTTTTTCCTGTCTGTGGAAGTGTTAAATATATTCTCTCATGTCAAGAGAGAGAAAAATAGTAACCTCCATTTTTTCTGTACACCCTCTAACTAAAAAGTGCCTGTGGCACTCTGATCCCTGAGGCTCACAAGTCACTGCTGGATTAGCAGAAATGAAGCGCCAACATCGGGAGCATATCACATAATCCCAGAGGGGAGGTGATGGAATCACATTTATTCAGTCATAATCAGGGGGGATTTAAGTTTTATGAGGCTTGAACCTTCTACAGTTGGGATACCCTCTTCAAGTAAAAAGAGATTATACACACAAAATAGCTAGGGCTTTACCAGGTCCTTAGCAGGGGTCTGGGGAAGTGAGGGGCCCTGAAGCTTAAGCTTCATAATAAAGCCACCTCTGCTCATAACTTTTGCTTTAATTTGTTGTATCCCCAATACCATTCCTACCTTCAGTGGTTGGAATTCTAAAGAGTTTCATAATCAATTTGGATATATATTATGGAAAGCCACTTCTATTTTGAAAATTAAAGTCATGATAACTTCTGGTTCAACAAATAAAAACATATTAAAGAAACTCAGGAATGATAAAAATAGCATTCAAAATGTGTGTCTTTAAACAACACATTTCTTTGATTGATGCTTATATGTAATCTTGTTATTTTAGAGTGGGTACATGACAATATCTTCTTGGCTATTAACCTAATAATGTCATAAATAACATAATAATAGATAATGATAATAGATAATAGATAATAGATAATTCTTATGCCATTTAAGAAATTTATCTATCCATGAAAAATTCTAGTAAAGATTATTGCTACTAAGAAAAATAATAAGTAAAATTGTTCTTAATAGCTTCAAGGATTATCAGAATTAAAATCATTTGATTGTTAGGTTTTTACTTTGGATGCATAAAATCCTAACGTTCACTCACATGACTCTCATTTTTTCCCCTTACCATCCACGTTGAACAGGAATAAGAGTAATGCAGATGGACATCTATTTTTTTTGGTTCCCTAAGCTCTCTTCCAAATATGATTTCTAAAATGAACTTTGAAGAATCAGGTAACCCAAATTCACATGAAAACCCTGGAGGATTAAATCCTATTATATATTACACTTTTCATGCTGCTAAAAAAACCTATCAGTGATAGATAATGCATAGTAGCTGAAAAGAAAGAGGTTCCTTAGCCTTTCAAGGTGGCATCTCTCACTGGGTGGGAAATCCTAATTTGATATGAATTCCTTAGCTAGAACATGGGCCTTGCAACATTTAATGGGTTATTATTAGAACAGTAGGAAACATTCGGGCAAAGTTTGCAAAAGGAAAGATAGTGACATAAAAACAGGCTAATACCCTGCAGTTATATTAAAATTTCTTAAGAGGTTACATTTCAGAATATATTTTATTTTTTTTAATTCATATTATATGCTTTTCATTCTAAATATAATGTCAAATGCTTTAAAACAATACTTTGAGCTCACTCTATAATTTTGAGCATGAGGCACTAGGAAATTTTTCATGCCAATATTAACAACCAGATTTCTGTATTAATTTTAATACATAAAAGTAAAGAAAAGCCAAACACTTACAATGAAAGTAAAGCTCTTCATCCCCTTCTTGGTCAGCTTTGCTGTAACCACAGTGCCTGAAAGAAATCAAATGTTGTGACAGACACAATCAATGATCTTACTTTATATATTTAAAATTCCGTAAAATATACCTTAATTATTTTACAACATGCTACTTAGATCTATAAACAAAATACAGAAACTTGCTATCCACAGTTATCAACTCAATAATAATATAGCCATCCATATGATTTAAAAAGGCACAGAATATAAAGTATTTGTGTGAGACAATGCAGATGGAACATACTTGTAAATTTAGATTTATCAATGAGTACATATTTGCTTACACATTTTTTTTCTGGAAAACAACAACGACAACAGGCTTTAAATGGTTTCCACAATCATTAACCAAAAGAATAAATGTACCCAATAGAAACTACAATACTCATCCTCTTAAACTAAAGACAACGATTAAGCTCCAAGTGTATTTTGACCTTGGGAGAATGAAAACTTACTGACCTTTAATGTTTCGTATCAGACAAAGAATGTTTGCATTTCCTATTCTAATGTGCTGAACAATACGTAATGGGTAACATAATTTTGAAAAATCAATACATTTTATCTCAGAGATTAGAAGAAATTAGTTTCCTACCTTCTTCCAATGATGAAGCCAAAGACCATGAACACCAGAATGATGGTCCCTGCAACTGCAACCACCGCAATAATAATAACAGGATTCTGTTCACTGGACACGGCTGTAGCTGCGAATAGAGGAAACAGGCTCAGAAACACTGAATATCATGCAAGAACTTGAGAGGTTTAAACAAAATCTTATCAACGAGAGCCGTCTATGCTATTGAAATCACCTCTAATTTTAAATAAATGCATTATATTGTAACAATGTAAATGTAAATGCTTATTTTTGCATTTTAGAGAATTGCTAAGGACAATACCGTCATCTATTTTATATTCCTCAGCTATAAAAGAAACCTATGAAATGCCTTATTGAATGCCTAGCTCCTGCTTAGTTGTTGAAAACTTAGTTATGAATCAGAGATAGAGATCTTTGATCTACAGTTGCTATTAAATCCCTATTTTTCCTCAGCATGTATTTGATCCTTCTATATCTGTTTTTCTGGTGTATAAAAAAGGAACCAAAATACATAATCTGTGCATTTTTTCAAAGTACCTTAAGTGCATTATCTTTCATATTATCAGTCTAAAATAAAAATCATCACGTGATCACAGTATGTCATCATGACTTTACAATGCACCACAATTAAGGAAGCAGGCAGAATTACTCGTATTAACCTGACAAAGTAGCAATGCACACACGAGAGTTTAAGACTATAGAGGAGGTTAGCTCTTTATGAAAGAGCAAACTTTCTGCAAGTACTTTAAAAACATTTCAGCATTATCTAATCGTAGACACTGCCTGCACGATGCTAAGCGATTCTTCTCTGCTCGTTAAGGCAAGCCCAGCTGGCCTTTCGGGAGTCTCTCTGGGAACAGTGTATGTTTACGGGTCCTTTAAAGCAGCCTCTGATTCCAGTTCGTCACAGAGGCACATGGCCTTCCCATTTCCATTTTTCCAAATTAGTGAAGCTTTACTTATATTGCAATTCGCAATTGTCATATTTCCCCCAGAGTATTATATTTCCAATGCCAGTACCGACTTCATAAAATAATCAAAGATATATAAAACAATTAAAATGTATATTCCAATAAATGATTCAGTTGCAAATATCATATAATATATAATGTCCAACTAATATAGTTTGTTTATTCCTGAAACAATCAATGGTTGTAATCTTTAATTTATGGCAGGATGGAAAATACTGCTCCTTCTTGCTGGTGACAAGGGACTGGGTCTCCAGAGCAGTAAATTATCCGTAGGAAGAGCATGTTTTCCCACAATAGGCAGCAATAAAGTTTTTTATTTTATTTGTTTGTTTGTTTGTTTTTTGATTGGCCTTCCTTTAGTTGATCTAAGTCTTCCCCCTTTTGACAACTCATCTCTGAATTTTTTATACCTATGCTAACTATAGAGAGCTTTTACCCTGAAAAACAATATTACCGGCTCTGGTGTAATAATTTCTGAACAAAGGTATTACACACACTTCCCAGTTCTCCCGCTGATTTACTCCCCAAGGGGACTAAACTGGGGTGGGGGTGAGAAAACAACTTTTAAGCTTTGTCTCTGAATTACAGTTCAACAAAGAAAAGATGACTTTAAGGTTTTTTTTTATTGGTTTGGTTGCTTTTTGTTTTTATCTGTCTTTTTTATATGTAGTAAGAGAGAGAAAAGAATGGAGTAGGCTGTTTACGAAGGAAAAATTACACATGTACAAATTGTTTCCATTCAATCTATGTGTCTCATGGGGCTAATCCTTTGCTTGTCTTAGGTTCTGTTCTGTCCTTAGCTTCAGGAGCAGAACTCCAATGAGAAAACTGAACTCAGGGGAATGATGAAATGGAATTTGTGCACATTGATGTATATAGTTTTATATATAAGAAGGGTCACACTTTAATCTTTCCATAGCCAACATTTATGGTTAATATTTTCAACTCTTTCATGGGTAATAAAATTTAAAACTAGTTTATAAGTGCCCTAATCAACACACCGTAGTTTAAAAATTATAAAAACAGTAGAGTTAACTTTGCATAGAAGGGGCTTTTAGGATGTACATGCAATGAAATAAACTGTTTAACTTCTCTTTTGATGAATTCTGTTAGCAAACTTAAATCACTGCTCAGGTGACTTCTCTTCAGTGGCATCCTCCCTCTTGCTCTTCCCAGCACAGTGAGTCACTGTTTCCTGACACTAGGAGCACTGGGACATGCACTCGACCAGCACTTAATTGCATGAACAGTACTTTTGCACAAGCCTGTCTTTTACTAAACTTTAAATTGAAGTTATCAACTGTGTCATGTGTCTAATTCTTAGCACAATACCTTGTGCTAAATCAGTATTTCTCAAAGGATGGTCTGGGAACCCTTGAAGGTCCCTTAAGAGCTCTCCTGGGATCTGCAAGGTTAAAACTATTTTCATATAATATGATGTAATTTGATTTTTTTTTTTTTACTTACATATGCTCATAAGCACACAGAGTTTTCCAGAAGTTATATGACATGAGATGATTTCATCACCCTGACGGCAAATGAAATGTGTGTTTAAAGAATGTTTCAGTTTTAATGTCTAATGTGGTGAATTTTGATAGTTATAATCCAAATAATCAAAATCTCTTTGGGGATCCTCAACATTTTTAATAGCCTATAAGGGTTCCTGAGACAAAAAGCTTGAAATGGTTGTGCTCATTAATATAAGCTGACACTTGAGACTGGCTGTGTGCTGGGCACTGTACTTGGCACTTTGTGTACATCAATTTATTGAATCCTCAGAAGACCGTGTGAGTTGGATTTGGCTATCCTAGCAACTAGGGTACAGAGAAGCAGCTCACCCAGGGTCCCACATCCGGACATGGCAGAGCTGAGATGTGAAACCAGGAACATGTCTCCTCACGCCGACCGATACCGACAATCTGTTCTCAGATGACGACTGTGAGGTATTTATATTTTGTTTATTTGCTGAGTGCCTTCTACATGTCAAGCACTAGCAGGACATATGACCATTCTTTCATCAACTTTACATCCCAGAGGGAGGGAATGCTCTCATGCTAAATATCATCCAATTCTTTCTAATGCAAAAGTCCAGTTTTAAGATTTATTTCATTTGATTACTCAGGTTACACTACTTCATCTTAATCTCTCTGAGTCTTATTTACTTCATTTTAAAATAATGAAAATAATAAGTATGAATCTCAGCACACAATACGCAAGAGTTTATAAAGTTCTCAAACCTACTTGGAAAATATTTTGAAACCCATTTTGAAAATATAGTCAAACATATTATGAAAATATTTTGCAAGTTTTCAAACCTAAAGGTTTAACCGATAAAAATGTGTAGGTAAATATGAGATAACTAAACGACGTTTTCAACTTAAGTTTAAATTATTCATTAGAACATGAAAAAACATCATTTGAAGTGTTTTATTACATTAGAAGTCATAGATATCATTAAATCAACCCAAGTTGAAGACTATGAGGACAGATTTAACACAAGACCACTCAAATGTCTACATGTTGAAATCTTAACTTAAAATTCTTTAATGGTTTTGGGGCTATTGAACTTATTCTCATTTTTAATCTTACATACTCCATTTAAAAAATAATAAAGAATAATGGCATTAATTTTATAACAGCAAATTATGTGACTTTTCAAAATTGATGCTTTTGTATCTACAATTATATAAAATAATTTATATTTCATATTTACTTCAATGTTTTATTATTTGAGGTTCTGAGAGCGACAGCTTAGTTTAAAAATATAAAAAATTTTGAAAGATGAATACTGTTAGCAAACTTAATCATTGGCTAATGTGAAGTATATTTATCAGTTTATTCTACCTTCTAAAGATGTATGAAAATATTTTTCTGAAGTCAAAATAATTATTTGATCAAAATTGTATTAATTTATTTAAAAAACTTTTTATTAATCTTGAGGATAGAAAATATAATGTTTTTTCTCTCATGTAATATTTTTTCGCTCATTTTTGTTTAGAATTTTGTGGGAATGCTAGGTTGGCAAGGTGGTGATGAGGTAACAGTGCCTGAGCAGTGACATCAGGAGAAATAAAAAAATTTCAAAATATAAAAATACATGCTGAGACATCCGCTAGCTGAAGGACAAGCTGCAGTGGTGCTCAGCTGTTCTGAAACTGCACTCTGAGGATAAACCAGGACGCCATCCATGCATCTGCTTATTTGTGATACACTACAGACACAGGCATTGCTGTGTTCCTATGCTGCATTATAAAGCATAAGCAAAATGATAACAGGGATTCAAGATATTGGTAACATTTTATTTTTTAGCTGAGTGGTAGATACAGAGATACTCATTTAAATGTACTTAATATTTCACATATACTTTAAATATTATCTTTAGTATGCTTGAAATATTTCACACAAAAAAGGAGAAAATAAAAGTGATGATAAAAATAAATGCAAGTTCTAAGATATTCCTGAACTCAATTTTTGAAACCATTACTAAAGGGCAAGTAACTTAAATTAACACAGATTCTTACCTATTCTCTTTCTCTGGCCCACCCTGGTGTACATCCTGGCTTCCCTTGAGCTTTCTGTAAAGAAGCAGCTTTGACTGACACAACTAGAGCAGATTCATTTTGGGGTGTACAAAACCAGCCTGTGTATTGAACAAGTCCTGCTTCTGTTCCTAACTTCGTCTTTTCCAAATAAAGTCAGTATGTATTAAAGAGACTAATTTAAATCACCAGTTTCTAACATTTCAAAACAAAACAGCACATTTTAAATTATTATTCTGAATAACCTTTACAAAGTACATCTATGTGCATATATCTTCACCTTTCAAAGTAAAAATAATCTTAAACCAAATCATTATTCCTAGCAGCTAACAAAAAGTGCAAGAGTTATAGAGAGTAAGAATCCAAATCAAAGGTGGTAATTACCTTCAAACATTTTACCTGTAGCTTCCTCCAGCGTAGCAACATCAAGTCTGGGACTGTAGTTTCCATAACCAGCAGCAGTAAAAGCCCGAATCTGGAAAACATACACTGTTCCTGGCTTCAGGTTATTAATGGAGGCTGAAGTGGACTTTGTTTTCACTGTCGAGTAGGTACGTTCCCTTTGATCCTAGAAACAATATATACAGGGGATATTTAATTGTGATTGCAACCAGGCAGTTTGACAGCCAATTTTTGCAATTTATTTCAATTTGCTGCATTGTTATTACAAAGGCTACATTGTATACTCTGTGGACTATTGTACGTTGAGTTGTTTCTCAAATAATATAAAATGTAAATGTGAACACATGCCTTTGTTCTATAAATTTCAAAGAGAAATACTTTTGTTTAAACATGTATGATATTTTGAACGTTTGCTTTGTTGGTAGAGGGCAGAATGGAAAGAACTATTCAGCCATAAAGAAAATCAAATGTCCTGATGACCAGGACAGGGGTACAGCTGTAAAATCTATGGTTTAGTTGAGGTCTTCACTTCATAACATAGTTCTTTTAATATTTTTGCTGAATATTATTCAGCAAGCAAAAAACCATATGCTAAAAATGAAGAAAGCTATTAAATCAAGAAATTTAGCTAACATTACAAACATAGTAGAGCGATTTTCAACCAGTGTGTTGCAAGAATTTTTAAAACATGTAATGCCTGACTATTTAGTCAGGGGTACTAACCTCTTTTTTCTTAGAATGTCAAATAAAAAAATGACAACAGCCAACACAATAGGTCTGTTGTGAATGTCCTGACTTGAGCCATAAATATATAGGTGATATAACAGAGTTGAATCTTACAGGTCACATTGCATAATAAGGTTGCATCTGACTGGTTAATTCTTGGTACCAGAAATTCTTATATCCAAGTATAGGCACCTGATTTTTAAAAAATTCACATTGGAGCAAAAACAGTAGGTAATTACTATTATTCTTTTTTAAAAAAAAAGTCAATGAAAATTATACCTATTTTTTGGTGGCCACAGAATTCTAGTAGTTTATGAGATAAAAAAGGTTGAAAATTGCTGCCATAGTGACATTATCAATTGTTTTCATTAAAACTGCATTTATAACAGAATAAAACCACTTTTATAATATAGTAATTAAAGGAATATTTTAAATTAAAAGTATTAATATAAAAGTCAAAGTACTGTATAATTTATGGCTTACCAATATTTTAAACAATACAGTTTTGTTCAGTTTCCTCATTTTTCAGATATATAAAGTGAAGCTTAAGGAGTTTACAAATGTATTAATCATATTATATGTGATAAGCCTAAGAATATAGTAAGTTTAAAAATTCAAGAATATGAAAACTCCATGAAAACAATATTCAAATGAATAAAAATTTAAAACTTAATTGATATGCCTCTAATGGGCTATTTATGAAAAAAGATAAAAACGGCTCATTCAAATATACAATTTTAGACAGTTTCTTATTTGTTCTATAATAAATGCCTGTGCTCAACTGTGACTGTCAATGAAACTCTCACCAAAATCTGAAAATGTCAGTCTGATTATGTGATTTGTTGTCACATTGTTATTTATAAAACTGCAAATAAATGTATATTCAAACTGGATTTTTGATTTATAGTGAAACTGATTTGTGATTGTCTTCATTTTAACCATTCATAAAAATGATAGTTGGTATTATAAATATACATTTATCTAAAACAAAACAAGGTATAACTAATATTAGATGACATAATGATATATATATATGTATATATATAGAGATCATATGCTTACATACATTACCATGCAATAGTTACTTCCCTTTAATGACTGCCTGATTTGTAAGTTCAGCGAATGTACAAACATTTTGCTTCTACCATGCAAAATAGAGAAGTAACTACTTGAACAAGTGTATTCCAGAGTAGGGATTTACAAAATATTTTGTTCCACTGTAAGAAACTTCACTCTCATTTACCACATAACTTACATTACAAAAATGTACATTTTTGCTTTTGAAATCTGATGCAGTTTCAGAAGGGATTATAACTGTTAGAGCTCACTGGAAAACAGACATAAAACCAATATTAAAAACAAGGATTTCCTCAGAACCATATTTGATGGGACAAGTAATGTTTCCCTGGTACAAAATGGGGTATTTAAAATGTAACTTTGGCAATGGAGTCACGAATTTATAAAGGAAATAGTCAAAATACTGTAAACTTAATTTGAACACTGAAACTAATCTTAAACTATGTTTTCTCTTCAAAAGGAAAAATATTAACTATCACCAATGCACTATGTGCCTGTTAATTATTCATTCAAGTAGATGACTACCCAAGTTTTTCCAAAACTTTAAGCTTCTATTTTATTTTTATTTTATGTTTTAAATTTATCTTTATTGTTGAAAGTATTACAAATGTCCCCTTTTCCCCCCATTGATCACATCCCCCCTGTGCCCCTCCCCCAGGCCTTCACCCCACTATTGTCTGTGTCCATGGGTTAAGCATATATGCATATAAGTACTTAGGTTAATCTCTCCCCACCCACCCCCACCTTCCCCCTGAGATCCCTCAGTCTGTTCCATGCTTCTATGTCTCTGGATCTATTTAGTTCATTGGTTTATTTTGTTCTTTAGATTCGACATGCAAGTGAGATCATGTGGCACTTGTCTTCCTCTGACGGGCTTATTTCCCTTAGCATAATACTCTCCAGGTCCCACCATGCTGTCCCAAAGGGTAAGGGGTCCTTCGTTTTTACAGCTGCATAGTGTTCCATGGTGTAAATGTCCGAGAGGATGATTGTATTTCAGTCTTCTTGAACTTGTAGAGACTTGTTTTGTGTCCCAAAATGTGGTCTGTCTTTGAGAATGTCCCGTGTGCACTTGAGGAGAATGCCTATTCTGCAGCTTTGGAGTAGAATGTCCTGTAAATGCCAACTAAATCCATCTGACCTAGTGTGTCGTTTAGAGTCACGTTTCCTTGTTGATTTTAGGTCTGGAAGACCTACCCAGCACAGTCAGTGGGATGGAAGGTCCCTCGGTATGACTGTGCTGCTGTTGGTCTCTCCCTTAAAGTCCTCGGCAAGTTTTTTCCAGCCTGTGTGAGTCCTTTGTCCTGAGGTGGGGCTCCTGTAGAAGCATATATTAGGGCCTTGTTTTCTTATCCGTTCAGCTACCCTATCTATGTCTTCTGATTGGGACATTTAACCTGTTTATATTTAAGGTTATTATCGATAGGTATTTATCTATTGCCATTTTATTTCTTAATGCCTATGTTTCTCATTCTCTCTATTTCAACTTCTTATTATCACAGTCCCTTTAACATTTCCTGCAATTTTAAGCTCCTATTTTAAAATGCTGTCTAAACGGTTAAAATAGTTATACGTGTATTACAGTACTTCAGCTAACTCATTTAAGTCAGTAATAGTAACACTATTACTACTACTAATGACAATAGTTCCCATGTTTCAAACCTTGAGCCAGGGATTGAGGCAGAGCCTGCGTCATAATTGGTGACTGGGCGGCACCATGCTCTCCCAGGCTCCGGGTGGGTCAAAAATAAATGCACTCACGCTCAGAGACATCACTGCCCATTAAAACTGAGCCATTGTGGAGATTAAGGGGGCAGCACATGGGTTTTAGCCATACTTTTTTTCATGGAGAGAGGAGTGTAAAGCAGTGGTCATGGACATGAATAGCATAACATAAATGAAGTACATTTCAGGAGGAATGTAAAGGAATGGAATATCGTCACCTGATTCTGAAGTTTAGAAGAAAACTACAAAGTGATTGCAGAAAATATTCTTAATTTTCAAATTACTGAATAATTTGAGGCCACCATAATTATCACTGAAACCACATAAATAAAATAAATCATTAAAGGCCCAAACAGGCGTCCTAAAAGAAACATTTTTCAAAAACACACTGGGCTGTGCGGTGCTAAAACTTCCTCCACCTAATTATTGTGATTTCAGAAACTGAATAAATAGATACACTGCTAATGGAATATTTTCATTTGTGTAACAGAAATTTAATACACAGAAATTATAATAACGAACCAGAGATTCAGGGACGATGGCTATCACTATGAAGCCTGAGGTTCCCCAACAGCGGGCGTAAGGGCCGCCTCAGTGCGCAGCGCAGAAGGGCGGCCTGAGGCGCACAGCGCGGTACATCTCCCGGCCCTCGCACTTACTTTCTCGTAATACTTGATTTCATACTCCGTGATGACTCCATTGGGATGCTCCGGCTCCTGCCAGGAAAGCTCCACGCTCCGCTGTAGCACTCGCTCCTTCATTACTCCGCTCACTTGCGAGGGAGCTGTTTGGACAAGATGTGTCAATAAACAATGAGAAAATTCACTGGATGCCTCAAATCAAATGTCACAACTGATCAGTTCCATGCTGTGCCAGTTTCACGAAGGTAACAGAAAGCACCTTTTCATAGTTCACAATTCAGGAGCTAATGAATATTCAAACAGGTCCTTATTACTGCTCATAAACCTTAATAGAAATTTAAATTAAAGTGCAAACAGCAGAAGATAGCATTGTTCAAGTTACTAAAAAATGGAAATGATGGGGCTGAGAATGACAATTAAGCAAATGAATGCTAATTAGGGCTACAAAATATGATTTCAGATTAATCTCCAGTGATAAACTAAGTCCAAATATTTATTTCACATGCAACAAGCAATACGCTTATAAAAGAAAAAATAATTTAATATCGTGTAACAAAGAGTGTATGAAATGGCTACTTTAATCTTCAATTAAAGGGATCACACACAAAAATGCTTTCATGTTGTGTGTGTGTGTGTGTTCCCAAAGAATTCCAATTAACCTTGAAAAAAATTTTTTACACTTCATTCAATCAAAGGCAAGAAAATGCTAAAGCTGCTGATATTCAAATATGTGCGTGAAAACACATACATACTCTTGCACATGAAATTTATACTTATGTAACCTAGGTCTCAAGCTTTGGTAGAAGCAGTTCAAACTATAATTTGCTCTCTCTTTCTATATCGATAATAATGTGCTTAGAGTTCTTTCATTCTAATTAGTGGCACATACTCTTTTTGGTAGCTAAGACTGTGGAATGCAGGGAACTAATTTGCTCTGTCTAATTTGCTCAGTGATGATTAACTAGTTGTCTTCTCCGTCTAAATGAGTAGCTGCACTGGCTTGGCTGAATTTCAGGGGGGTCATTATGTTCCATGTATCATGCTCCATCTCATTCTGTAAAATATTTTCAGGCTGTTAATTTAATTTTCAGATGTCCAAATTTGTTAATAATCCTGCTGACAGAAAAGCAATTATATGGGGCCAAAGCTGTTTAAGCAGGCTTCTGATGTTTATCCCTTTGGCTTTATTTTGTTTCTTCCACTTTTTAATATTTTCTTGTATCGATGTCTAGAAAAAAAAAACCATTTTTCACTCCTTTCTGGCGTGGCAGTTGGAAGGGAAGGACGTGGAAGATGCACGACTCCCATTTCCTCGCAGATTACTAACAAAAGCGTAACTAGGGACGATGAAGCGGAACAGCTTCTGCTTTCGGGGGATGCGGCTGACGTCCCCAACACACTGTGTTTACAGAATAAATGTGTTCCTGATATGCTTCCAATGAAGCCAATTTCTAATAAGAAATCTTAGTTTTTGCCACAACTTTTCCAAGCCGAGTAAGTGCAGTGAAGCAGCACTTGTATCCAAAGTGAGTTGCCCCTCGGCCCAGAACATGCTCAGCTCCCCTCTGCCCACTGCGATGTTCGGGGGGCTGCTTCCTCCAGCTGTACCCGAGGAAAACACTCCCAACTAAGTGTGAGGTGAGATTCTACCTAGCAAGTCATCTCTAATGGTCTAATTCACGTAAGATCATTCCGAGAAATCGGTTTCTAACTCTGATTAGCAAAAAGTCGAGTGCAGCACAGGTAAGACTACGGTGAGAGTCAACCACCTGTAATTACCCAGTACAGCTGCTGGCTTACGAGCGATGTGTGCCATCTGGAAAAGGGGAGCTGAAAACAGGTTAGGCAGTCAGGAGGTACCCATCTCGAGGGCTCTTTCAAGTAACACACAGAGCTTACTGCGATTTTCAGTTAAGTCAAACTGTAAGACATTTTGTTTAATTTCTGTCCTTAAATATTAAGGTGAAGGAGGCAGGAGACGCTGAGTTCTCCAAGGTATGGGGGACACTTGGTGTATAAATTTACCTCAATTCGTTTCTGTGAAAAGTTACAGCAAGATCGAAGTATAGACTGAGACTCGATTCCTGCAAGTTACCCACTAAAATGATAATCATTGTTTCAGCCTGGAAAAAAACACCTTTACCAATAAAATTTATGGTAATTGGGGGTTGGTGAGAAATACCTAAAAATACTTTTTGAACAGACAGTATTTTAAAACTCATCTGTCGGCACCAGCAGTGCAGTATGCCACATTCCACCACCCCTCTTTTGCCCAAGGAGCCATATCTGTGAGTGACTATACTCCTGATTTTCTATATATTTCCCTTTTTAAAAATTTTATCCCTTGGTGATACTGTAACCAGTCACACATTTTAAGAGGATCAGAGACAGAAGTACTAGCACATGGCCCCGGAGAATAGATAAATTGCATGATAGGAAAAATCTTTCCCTGTCTTACGTCCTTCAAATACAATATTTTGGTGCGGGAAAACTGATAATATTTTCCCTTGAGTTTGAATGTCTTAGACATAAAGGATATACAACCCAAAAGATATATAGCTAAGCTAATCAGATTCTAATAGGGTCATTTTTTTTCCAGACAAATTTATATGTACAAGTAAAATTGAAGTTGCATAAAATAATCTTAAAACTCAATTTCTATGGTGAATATATATGATCTATTAAATTGATCACATTGTTACAATTTCACTAAAAATATAGTCATGCTCACACAAAAATATTCAATTTACTACAGTTAAATCTGAAGTTCATTTTGAAAAGAATATGTACACAATTAAATTATATACAGTTAACAAACAATTAGGTGCTATGACCTTTAAATTGTAATTTCCACAATTATCAAAGTGAAATAAAATATAATTAGAATTGATGTGAAGTTAATAATTAGTAACCAGTAATAATAAATTCCCTGAATTTGAAAAAGTGGGAAAACAAACACTTCAGAGAGAGGAGCTTTTAAACAAAAACTTTTAGTAGGGCTTCTAACAAACGATTAACAGATTCATTTCTCACCTAAGTTTCTAGAAATATTCAGATGTAAAAATTAATTTTAACTGAAGAAACAGATGGAGCACCTTTACCCTTAAAGATCTTCATGACTTACTGGGGACATATCTGGAGTCTGTACAGATGACAGAGAAAGATGACCTTAGGAAAGTCAGAAGACGAGCTGTTCAAAGGGATACATTTCAACAGTATGAAATCAAGGTTGATAAAGTTGATGCAACACGAAAGCAGAAATCTAATAACAGACAGGAGGTAAATTTGTGGGCTGGGTTAGTGTGAGCTTCTGAATTAAAAAATAATCAGTAGGAATGGTAGGTTTATGTACAGAGCTGAACCAATCAACATTTTACAGGTTTTGTGCTTCAAGCACTCAGGCGTGACTTTTGGTCTTAATCATTTTCTAATTAAAAAACAAAAAATACATTTACATTTTACGATGAACTGTATTTATAAAGGCTCGATTTCCCCCCTAAAATGTTAATTTTATCTTCATGTACGGAAAAATTTCCTAGCACAAGGTGGGGGAAAAAGACAATTTTAAAAAGCAGTACAGGAGGCTAATGGCCCTCCAAAGATGCCTGTAGTCTAATATCTGTAATACGTGTATGTGCAACAGGATATGGCAAACGGACACGACAGCTGTAATTAAGGTTATAGATCTTACAATAAAGTTATTATCCTGGACTTTCCCCAGTGGGTCCCATCTAATCACATTAGCCCTTAAGAGCAGAGCGGTTTCTCCAGCCAGGGCCCGGGAGGTGCTGCTGAAGGAGGAGCCAGGGAGGAGTGAAGCGGGAGGGGCATCAGCCTGTCAGAGGCACCCCGGGAAACATGAGAAGGTGTGGGGACAGCCTTCAGGATCCGAGAATGATCCTGGCTGACAGAGGCTGGGAAACGGAGACCTCAGCCCGACAAGTGCAAAGGCCCTGAATTCTAACAACAACATGAATGAGCTTGGAAGCGGGTTTTCCCCAGTTTCCAGACAGAGCCCAGCCCAGCTGACAGCCTGATTTCACCCCCGGAGGCTGTCAATAGAGCATCCAGCTGAGAGCCCTGCTGTGCCCAGATTTCTGAGCTGCATAACTGGGGGATAAGAAAGAGGTGCTGTTTTTAAGTTTTTGTAGTAATTTTATGGTAGCAATAGAAAGCCAATACACATAGATCGTAAAGCAAGACTTACTGGCCTATTTATAAAGTCTATGAAAAAAAAAGGATCGTGATAGGATAGTTTGATAATGTGATATGTCAAACTTCATGTTGCAATAATGACGTCAAAATATTTTTATCTTAACACTCAAAACACAATGCATTCAAAAAACATTTGTTGTGGTAGAACTTCAGCGAAGCTCATGAATTTTATTTTGGATTTTAAAAGTAATTTATTTATACTAGCCAGCATTGTTACTACACTTAAATGCTCTCATTGAATTTCAACAAAGAATGGTGAGTGAAAAAATATTTGTATTTCTAAAGAATACAATGAGGTAAGATGGGTCAACAAGCATGAAATGACCTTTTGCCATGCATTTCAAGTTGTTAAATCTATTGACATTTGTTAGGTTGCCATTAAATAAATACAAAGAGTGAAAATGAACAAATCTTTAGAGCAGTCAAATGCAAATCTGACAACAGCAGAATAATAGTCTTGACTGAACACTTCTGTTGCCACACAATGTAGAATTCATTTTTAGCAATCCTTTGAAATCAGAAATATTTCTGTATTATTAAAGGCTTAGTATTTTCTAACACACAACTTTTAGCTTCCTTACTCTTCCCCACAGGTGTTTCATTTTTGCACTACAGAAAAGAAAACCATATAAAAACACCTATAAATGTATTTCAATAACAACACATGAGGCCATAAGCACACACACAGTTAAGTATCACGTACCATATCAGTTCAATTTGGGGGGTATGTAGGAATATGTAAAAAATCCTAACATGTGATTTCACTAAACTTTAATTTCCTGACTGTAAAAAAAGAGGTTAGTAATAATATTAAGAGCAATAAATATAAAGTTTTACCTAACAAAAAAAGCACCAGAACTAAGGGAAACTGAGCCCGCAGCAATTATGAACAATTAATTTGTAATAAATGTCTGTCAAATTATTTTTG